TCTATACAAGTATTCAATTAAAATTATAAAGTTTAACAACGCTTGGACTATACATTCGACCCCCAATGAACCACGAACGCCTACAAAAAGATTTTCCGTCGCAAAATAAAAAGAGGCTGTACTTAATATACGAGAACTCTAGAAGACGGTACATTTACATTTGGTTAGATAAGAACATTTTGCATTTTTTTTTTATCAGATTTTGTTCAAAAGAGACATAGTTAGTTATAGTTTAACTAGCTGTACCCGCGACTTCGGCCATATAAGCAGAGGGCCTACCATGAAATGTTTTCCGAAATTTCGGGGACGAACAAAACAGAAATTTGATGTTAAAATTACATAATACATGCCGTTTAAAATTATTAAAAATGTTAAAATAACATTTCTCTGGACTATTAGGATAGGATTTATGATGAACAAAATGTTAAGCTCCATTTACTGAGTCGATTTCGGTACGAACAAAAACACGAAATTGAGCCCGAAAATTCGGAATTTCATTTCATGGTAGACCACCAGGTTATATTTGTGACGATAGTGTATTCTAGGTATGCAATTGCGCTCAGTACCTTCCATTCTTTTAATATAGCATTTTTAAGTCGTAACCCACGAAGAAGCTAAAAAATTGAGTAAAAATCTCCCGACCTCCTCACTATAAAATTATAATAATATTTTAATTAATAGATTTACTAATTAGTAATCGATGGGAAAGTCCGTCTCTGTACTCTACGATCTACGTCTCGTCACTACCCTAATAATAAGTGATAACAAATGACGTACAAAATAAAATTAACAACACAAAACAAAAAATGGACAACCCAGCAATCGGGTCGACTCGTCTCTGTTCGTACCGACTCGTACATGAACAACTACGACTGAATAATTTTTGTTATTAGTAAAAGCGTATAATAAAATAAAATTAGTAATTAAGAGTCGGTTAGCAAAGTCGCATATTTACGTTAAACGAATCTTTCGAGACCCTTTAATAACAAACGCGACCCACCCGTTGAGAAACGATGCATTAATGCATTATACATTTCTCAAAGTCATATGGTCAGTTCAATCAATTTTTTATACTTTGTTAGTCGGTGTAGTTCTGCTCGGGATATTTTCATTTCTAATTCTTATCACGTAGCAAAATTCCGAGTATAACCTTTCTGCAATACGGAACGCGGCCTAAAGCTTCCTCTTAATTTCTTTAACAGAGTAAGGTCATGATTCAGTTTCATATTTTGAAATTATACAATCTCGCAATGTTTTTTCTGATAAATAAGAGATTGAATAATTATGACCACCACTAGTTAATGGATCATAATGGAATGGTAACTCCGGCGGCGCTAACGGTATACGTTGGCAGGGCACCTGTGAAGGACTATAAATGAGAATGAAAAGCCAAGTCAGTTAGCCCATCGTGATATATACACCTGGAGTTCAGCACGACATTTTCCAGGGGGGACCACTTTCCATCAGATGGACCGTCAACTTGTTTGCCATTGTAAGATGTGTAAAAAAAAACATAGCACTAGATGTAACAAAATCTCAGTATTATTGCGTATATTGCGATGTTTTTATCACCAGTATATAACACGCTCGAGAAATTAGTTTGCCTCGGTAAATTTCTCTCGAAGGCTCCGTGACACATTCCCTAGTCCCGGGAATAATATTATGACACTAATCGTCTTATCTACGCCCCGGAAAACCGGAGAACCCAGCGCCCTCAACGCCCCTGTCCTCTAAAATGGACTTCTAGGTGTTGCAGACGGCTGTTGTTCTTAATGAGATTGAGAACCTCATACTCTTCACACATGTCCGAAAACTTTTATCTCGCTACTAAAATTCTCTGTTTATTTGCCGTTTTTTTATGAAGGGTATCATGTTTGCGTAATGTTCGTCTAACCACATAAACATTTTAAAGCAATTTCTACGACTTTTTCATCTTTAGAACTGACTTTTAAAGGACTGTCCAGACATTTCTCTCTATGGAGAAAAAATCGATTTTTTTTTTATAGTATAGGGGATAAACGTGCATGCGGCTTACTTGATACCACACCCGCAAAATCAGACAAATTGCAAGAATATTTCCAGCCTTTTAGGAAAGAATATGCTCTTTTCTTTAAGGTTTCAATGTCGTTTCTGTTCGAAAATATTCCTGCTGGGAGTTGGTTTCATAGTTTTATACTTTTACCAAGTATCTAATTATACGTATGCGATATATTCCCTGCCACCATTACCGTGATCGCTACCAAGGCCAGGAATAGTGGAGCCGCCGGGGACTGAGCGCCGTTTTTTATTTGGGCTTAAAAAAAGTTTTTTTTTTTATTATTATTAAATAATAAAAAACCTTTATATATTACACAGCGTCATCTAGTCTGATTAAGAAGAACTTATAAATACTAAACGAAACGACAGGTATACTGAAATACTTTTACTTAATGTATTCGTACATATTATATAAATAAACAAGTAGATTAATTTCCGCAAAAAAGGAAACACCAATGTCAATCGTAACAAAACTAGTTACTTTGTTTCAAAAACTACGCTAGTGAACCGATTTTGACGAAATACCAATGTGATCAAACTAAAAGTATATTCTTTCAGTTAAAAAATAATAATCCAAATCGATTTATAAATGTCTGAGGTAACAAACATGAAAAAATTTACAACTTAATTGAGAACCTTCTTGTTTTTTGAAGTCGGTTAATAACACCCGGAAAAAATACAAACAGGCATACTTACAAATATTTGTATTGAGCGCGAATCAAAACCATTATCATTGAATGATAATATAAATCGCGATTTGTTAATCGACCACACTACTAAGATGAAACCATATATGTACCTAGAACTCGTCTTCTCAAGAACACTTTCAACCCCAAAAACATAAAAGGATTATTTTGCACACAAAATGTATCTCGTCTCCGCGGATCATAAAGCATTGGACAATCTAACCGTCACTGACCTACCACATGAAGCAAAAACTGTCCAAAATTACATTTTTGCAGTACAATAGGTAGGTACTTAATTTTACGCTCCATAATCATCCGGTGTCTGATTATACTGCCAACCCTTTGTAAGTGGTCACGTACATAGAGCAATATTATACGGTACTTTATGGTAGTCTCAATACTTTTACTGAAAATGTTCTTACATTTTTATGAATACTTTACAAGAATTTAACAAATTATCTTAAATAATATATTTTGAGGGTTTTTCTTAGAGAGTACAGTATGGAGGTTTTTAAAAGAGTATATTAAGGTATATTTTTAGGTATAGGAGTGTATTTCTTCAGGCAATGCGCACGTGACACCCTTAGTGTTGCAGGCGTCCATAAACGACAGTAACCGTTTATCATCAGACGGGCTGTATGCTTGTTTGCCACCGTTGTGGCATAAAAAACTGATTATTATTCATTTTATAATATTATTAAAAAAAATATATATTTCACAACTGTAACTCCTACATTCCCTGTGGTCCTGGCATAAAATAGGCCAGGGTGGCCCGAGGTTCCTTTCCCGTGGGTGTCGTAAGACGCGACTAAGGGAAGACGAGGGATGGACAGCAGCTTCCCTTGTAACACATTCTCAAAGCCTAACTGCAATTGCCAAACCGCCTGCTAAGCGTTAATTAATTACTGGCGAAACGGGTCAAGTATTTATTGTAAAACCTCTTTGTAGAAGTGTACAAATATTTTCTATAAATATCGATATTTTCATATATTTTACAAAATCCAACTTCAATTACCACACAAAAATCTAATATAAAACGAACATGTAAGCATAAAAATAAACAGAATGATTAAAAGTAACCACCAAAATCGATTCAAAATTTGTGATGATATTTTTACTTACACAAAAATGCAGGCCAGTTGGGAATCTCCTTTTGAGCTGGATTAAAAAGTAGTATAATATTAAAAATTAATTCTACCTACTGCCCATTTTAAATTATATTAATTGGTTTGTATAATAAGAAAAGCGACGTTTCATTTAATCTGATGCCACTGAAGCGTTTGTTTAGAGAACTGACAGTTCCTTGGAATCGAAGCCGTTAAGTGACTTTGATACGACTGTGAATTTGACATCGAGTTGTACTTGGTCCAAACGAAAAAGACACTCAGCCTTTTGGTACATCTTTAGTACTGACGACAGCTGATAGATTCAATGGAATGTTAAAAATCTCAGACATAAATTTAAACAGATAACCTAAGCACCCCAATGTATATGAAAACCATAGAGGACTTTTTAGATAAAACATGCTTACATGTTATGAAAATTAAGGGAGCTCATAATTACTCATAATATAATAAATATAGCACGGAACCAAATCAAAAATACTACCTTTATTCTATGGACAGTCTGATGTAAACTTTTTTATGTAACTTTCACATGATCTTCAAATCGAAATAAATGACTCAGAACAGTCATAAAAAAAGATACGTGGAGTTATGATATTTATGTAAATACACCTTCTAATTTGTCATCCATTTAGTGAAATTCAAACTATATAAAAATATTTTTTTTTTCTATTTCAAATACAAAATAATCCTAAATAGTTTGGAATATCTACTAAAATAGTAAAAACATCGGAATAACATGTTTAAATTGGAAAATTTTCTCTTGGTAACATGGGTCCAACGAAATATGGAAACAATTTTTAATCTTTCACTTCCATACTAAACCTATCACATGCTCGCGTGGTTTCTGGGAAAGGTCATATTCCGAAATATTATTTAAAACTAAAACTTTACCGTAATATTTTAAACAGTTGATATATAAATTATACCTACCAGTTATTAATTGTAATATAAGTATCTATATATAAAGAAACAAATAAAAAACAATCTTGTGACAAAATAAATTTGTTATAATAAAGCATCCGGAAACGCTCATATCACTACAATGTCTTAAAAATACACGTTCTTAAAAAAATGTTTACAACACAACTCCTCTTTTTCACTAAACTAAATTGCACCTTATTCTATACTCATAACGTTTAAATTTCTACAGCAAATCTACGCAACGCCTGTGCCACAAATCGCAAAGATATCTGATGTGCTGACGGGGCAGGGACCCCCGTTCCAAGCTGCCATCGCAAGCCACCTATACGCCCCCGTGTCGATTTACCAGCCCAGGGTGAGTGAAATGACGTAAATAGACATTATATTATTATCAAGCAAAAGTTATGAGCCCAATTCAATAGTCAACTCAGTATTTTCTTAAGCGTAATTTATTTTATCTGTAGGCGGATTCTTTTTTCTCAACTTAAAATGTGGTCATGAGTTCGAATCCGTGCTGACGATAAGGATAAACTGCACTCTTACTACGTCTCTTAATGTTTCAAGTGAATAATTTACTATTGCATTCACGATAGCAGATAACAGTTAGTAATAAATCTGACTGCTCTCCTCAGATTATAAGTGAATAGATTGATTGTTAAACATTTTAAGTTAAAAAATACTTATTATTTAACCTACTTATTTAACAAATTTTGGACATTGCAATTCAAAGTAACAAATAAATATTATTAGTGTTAGATAATAGGTTTTTAACAATTCCGCCCCCTACCCCAAATAATTGTTCTATTAAACTAATTTAAACAATTACAATTTACAGCTTGGATCCCCAACAATATACGAAGTATCAGCGCCGATACCATCTCAATTAGCGTACTCTGAACACAAGTTATCATACCAGCCACCGCAAAACGCTCTACAATACACACCGCAAACACAATACGAGCAAACTGCCAAAATACTGCCTCTAAACCAAGTAAACTTACAACCGGTTAACCACCAGCAACCATATCAGCAAATATTTGTCCAACCACAGCCAATAGTGTATAATCATTTGGCCCAACCTCAACAAATATACCAGCAATTACCACAACTCAATTTTCAACCACGATTAAACATTCCGCAAAATGAAATTTTGAGGCCGATACAGTACATACAGACTCCTTCGTCGCCAATAACATATTTGCGTCAAGAACCACAGGCATCAGTATCAATTGTTCCACCACAACAACCATTACTGCTTCCTGCTCAACCAGGAATTACTTATCTACAAAAAAATAATGTTGCCCAGAACCAACCAAATGTTCAAACAGTTTTACCAACAGCAATCCCGAGACAGGCTAAGGAGGCGGAAAAAGCACCTGAACCTCAACAGGTACTTTACTTGAATACTTAATTTATTTTCTGTTTGACTAGATTTAAAAACATTAATTTGATTAGAAGTAGTATTAAAAGATTAATTTTCTATTGAAAGTTATTTATGGAAAACATCATTATATTTTATTTTTATAGAAAATTTCTTTAATTTTATGATTACACGACAGAGTAATCGACATCATTGGCATCCTTTTAAAGCAGAGGTCTGAGATCGATGATCTTTTTCAAAAACACAAAAGTCTAAAAACGACTAAAAATTAGAGCTTACCGCACTTAATTAAATGCTGTACCTAATATAAGTGATTAAAAGATCAAAGTTTATGGTTTATATCATTACTTGATTATTATATTCAGTTTACCTTGTAAAATACTATTTAATATCTTTATTAGTTTAATTTTCAAAACTTTTTCTCCTATCAGGTATATTATAAATTATTACGTAATTAATATACTGTATTTAACATTTTCAGAATAACATTCAGCAACCGCAGCAATCAGCACAAACAAACATCCCATATCTGCGAACCCAAAATCCAATCAGCTATACTCAACCCACGCCAATCGCCTTTACACAACCCCAAGGACCAATTGCGTATACTCAACCACAAGCACCAGTGTTCTCACAACCCCAAGCACCACGATTCAATCAACAGCAAGGGGCTGTGAGCTTCGCCAGTTTCTCTCAAAGCCAACCATCTTCTATTATCCAGCAAAAATCCCAACAACAACAGAATCAACAGCCTCAGTACCAAACAGTGCAATACCAAGTGCCACAAAACCTTCAATCAAAAACTGCAGCTACTGAAAACTCAGCCTCCCAAAGTCGGGTGTTTCAAAACAAGTACCATACTTAAGACAAAGGACTGGACTTTCTCAACCACAATCTCAATCTCAAGCTCAAGCTTATTCCCAAGATCAAGTCTTTTTGCCAAATACAAACTATATTTCTCAATCTTTACCTACATTTCCACCTGTACAATATTTTGGCAAGTTTGCACCCTCTATCTTCGGTAGATATAAACGTTGATCGAACGAAATATGTATTGACAAATCTTAGATTAAATAATCTCAAGTTATGAATGAAATCCATTTGCGTGCATGAGTGATATTTATATACGTAAGTATATTTCAAGTAACATTTCGTATCATGGCACGCGATAAAATGTAAACAACTTTTTATTAACATATGATTCTGGAGCTAAAATAGGAGTAGGTGCGATTTTATCGAATATTTATATACATACATTATAAATTGTAATATTTTATGTCAGTTAAAATATGTTTTCAATAAAAATTGTACATACTAAAATAGTATCTATCTGATACAAATAAAGTTAAGTTTGTAATAATATTTTATAGTTAAGTACTTAATTGAAGTTGTAAAGGTGCTAAAAGTATTTACGGAACTGTGATGCCATAAATCTTTATTTTTACAAGTTATGCTGATTATATTTTAAGAAATATGTCTTTTGTTTATTTTTACCATCCTAAATCAATTTATCGTAAAGTATCGTTTGCATTACTAATACAGTTAATTATAAATTAAATATAAAATTCTAAGTAATAAATAAAAAGGAATTGCGAATGTTTAACAAAACAAAGGGCAGCTCTACGTGTAAGTAAGTAACATTAGAGCTTAACTTTATGCGAGCTTAGATCCCTCTGTGAGTATAAAGACTTCATTAATGTCATGTTTATTAGCCATATTAGGGTGATAAAGTAGTATTAATAGCATAAATGTCTTCATTATTGCTATTAATAGTAACCGAGGTATGCAATTTATGAACTGAGGATATTGTACTTTCAATATTAAAGTCTTTATAGCTACTGGTTAAGAAGCAATTTATTAGTAGAAGAGGTTTGCACCTCTCGCCTAATCTTATCAATTTATACCAGAAAGCATCAATTTATATTTTTTTGTGTTTTAATTTGTAGAGAACGATGCTCAGTATATTTATTATGGGTACGAGAAACAAATCTTAGTCATCAAAATTCAAAAGTCTAACTTACATGAGTACATGGCTACACAGAACATTCCGTGACATTCAACATGTTCTGTTTATGTCCATAAGCAATGGTTATCCAAGGTATACCCCAGATCATGGACCACCGGTTGTAACCATATTTCAATGCGAAGGACTGGCAACCTTCCTTGTACGTGATAAATCGCCAACTATAGATAAACTTGCACCCTAAACGTGTTATCAATTGGTTAAGGGAAAATACATATCACTATATAACTCACGTAGTCTTACGAAAGCGAAATTAAACAAAATAATACTAATTCAATAGTAAGATCATGATCTTCCGCAAAATAAGACCTAATCAAATTAATTATAGCTATTTGTTCAAGGTATAATTAGGTTTATCATGATGAGAATATTCACCAACCGCACCTAATATATATAAGTTAATGAACTAATATATTTCACTTAATATGAAATTAATCAGGAGACGAAGAACTCAACGACTTTCATATAATAGTAATAACATTACCCGACAGCGTAACGTAGCGTACTTCCTTAAACCAAGTCCACTTTGCTTTTCCTTAGTCGATCAATGTCGAGTTGTATGCCTATTCATGCATTGTATGAGTACAAAAGCTATGCATGCATGGCTATGTTAAAGGAACGACATAGACGTGTGAAGAGGGAACATGACAGTGAAATTTACGGGTACTGAATAGTATTCGATTTTCGTACCAGCCACTATAGAACTTTCGTATTTGTACGTAAATGATCTCAGCAACAATGGCCCACAAACGAGTTCATAAGGAATAATTTTCTCTTATATTTCCAGTCCTAGAGATCTTGTGATATACAGCAGATATCGTCGCATCTACTACCCAGGAATTCTACCTGCAGTGAGCTACCATATGCGTTTTCAAGGGGCATGTCACTTTCATTAGAGAACTGTTAACCGGTAGTAAATAACAATTCCAAAGAGAAGTTATTACCCATGGTGCACCAACTTCTAATATTGCCAAGTGGGAGAAAAGGGATTATTTCTAATGGGGTCCAATAGCCCATTTGCTAGCAATATACTTTATCAAGTCGACCTACACGTGGTTCCCGCTGAAAACTATCGTGGTTCATTCTTGTGGAACTCGTCACAGTGGGGTAACCAACCCGTTTTCATCCTCACATAACATATGTCACTGGTGCCCCGCCGGTGTATACTGATAGCGCTGGCAGGGTTACCGTTCCATTTGCATCCACTAAAAAAATATTCCCAAGCCAACTATGGACTTATGGTCCTCCTAAATGTTGAACATATTTAGGAAGACCATTAGTCCAACAGTGGACATGTGTTCTAATCCACATTCTAAGTCACACAAAAACTGCTGCTTTTAACAATAATGATGTTTTTGTTTGGATAATGTCATCAAAATGATATCAGAAACGTGTAGGCATTTGATATTTCTTGTGTCTATAGGCGATAGATATCTCTTTCTTTTCATGAGCTGGATCGTCACCTAATATTCCTTTTATAGAGGTGCAAAACTGTCTACACACCGAAGTCGCTGACACTGCGCTTCAGCCCAGCGAGTAGGGCAGATCAAAAGTGCTGATTTCCACTTATTACTTTAGTAATTATGAATACCAAAAATAAATCCAAAAAATTATTTAATATCTGCTCCTTTCCTGATATAATTGAAAACGCACTTAGCCTACCTAATTAAGGGACACAATTTCCAGTCTTGTTTGAGAATAAAATTTTCCTAATTTATTGTTTAAGATTTTAAAATAAGATTTTAAGATATAAATATTCTAAAAACAGTTTCAAAGAAATTGTAACACAGCCCTGGAAACTTTATCAAGGGCTCAAAAACTTATCCAATAGATTTTTATTCGCAACTTTGAACTTCGAGTCCAGTGCCTCGAAAAATCAAAGTACCTTTGTCACGGTTCTATTTAGAAAGTTTTTCATATATTTCTTTACGACATGAAACTTATCTTGACTGCAACAGTTCAAGTCAAGGAACGTTTCAAATAAAGTTGTTATTGGCTTATTTTTATCAACCCAGTTTTTCAAAAAGTTCTGAACTCCACTGTTATTTTCGTGTGTATCTACGTTATATAGGCCATTGTGAACTAGTTTTGATGATTCTTTTTTTAATAGAAACAGTTTTCTCGCGCGTTAAATCAGGAAGAGGCAAGATTATGCAACATCAATATAAACACTAAGGAATACTAACTGTATTATATCAGAATAGATTATTTTTTATTACGTAAATTATAATATTGACTTCAGATTGTTCTTAAAACTCTTTTGTCGAGGTTAGGAAAATATTAGTCGAAATCAAAATTACAAGAAGGTCAACCGATAATCGAAAACTTAGTAGCTCTATCAGTCACCTAAATTAAGTATACTCCCAATTTACTCATAATTATGAGCAATAACTAGATTTTACTACGCAATAAGCAATATTTTGATATAGATATTTTGATAAAGCCACAAATTTTATTGTATGTATCTGTACGTATCTGCTTCGTTCGTAGAATGCAAAACAAAAACAATTTCGGTTCAGAATTGATGAAAATTAATCTATGATCCTTTTTTGTTGTATGTCCGTTTTGCTTTGTTATATGTCTGACGACCGATGACATTTATGTTGAATAGTGTCCGACCAAACTTTCGGTTTCGGCTAGTTTCGGCCAAAAATTAGCCGAAACTTCGTTTGCGTGTCTTAAATTTACTTCCACGAGTAAATTATAATTTTAACATGTTTTTACATATGTGATATATTTGTTACATACTTTAATTAGTGTTTATTATTATCCTTTAACTCTGTGTGTTTGTGTAAATAATTGTGTAAAAAATACACTTGTAGATTTTAGTATAGAAGAGAAATTTTAAATATGTTTCATTAAGTTTCGGTCTCGGTTTCAGCCGAAACTGAGACCAAGGCCGTAAGTTCGGTTTCAGTTTCGGTTTCAGCTGTAAAACCTGTTTCGGTCAGATACTAATGTAGAATCAGTTTTTAACAGTGCAAGCGCCTTCACAACAAAATTAGCAATAACTACACGCCGATAAATTTGCTTCAATTAACAACATTTGCATTTTGATTTAAAAACAAAATTACTGAGAATAATAAAATTTCTGTGGAACCAGTCTGTAAATATATCCTTTCATACAAAAAAATATTTTTCCAAATTGGTTTACAACTAACGAAGTTATGAAGTAACAATTATAAAAAGAATCCACCGGACGGAAAGTGGTAACCGTCACCTATGGACATGAACAGTACCATGGACATAACAGAGTATACTGTTATGTTCATGATACCCTGTTATGTCCTATATATTGCCATTCTTGGGGACTCAGGTGTTATTCCTCTGTGCCCTGTCCAGTCTAACGACTTTTATACAAAGTATCCCTCTGGTAAATGCAGCTATTAACTAAACTGTGTTACGCAGGTATTAAACTCTGAAGAATATGAAGTGAACTAAACTTGTATTTATTGAACAAAACTAACAATAGTTCTGATTTCATTAAACATTTAATGCCTAATTTATTATTAAAATATTGAAATTGGATAGTAATAAATCATTTAGAACTTTTAATAGGCTTTTAACATCTATCAACATAGACGAAGGATAGTAAGTAATAATACTTAGATATTAGTTTTCTTTCATTTTAGGAGTATCTATATATTATAGTTACAATATCTATGTACTGATCCAATAAACAATATATTAAAAGTCTGTTATCCAAAAAATAAGTTTGGATTGGAGACTTAAAAGTCTATATACGAAATTAGATATCTGACCGATGTAGCGATCGAAATGGGAGATGAGATCGGTGTCCACATTACCCATGCCTGCTATGGAGTAATCTTCAATTATGACCCATACCTACATCATTTTATTCTGTATAAAATATCGTGCAAGGATAATTAAGAACGTAGGTAAATACCTATCTATAGGTATGTGATGGGAGCAATAGACGGAGGGACAGGACGAAACAAAGACCCCGGGGAACGGTTCCTATGAACCCGGATAGAGGTCTGACCTCTAATTTAAGATAAGGCCATACTCGTATATAAAAGTAGAAATTGCTTCTATTACCTATTGTTCTCGTGTTTGTTAATATAATATTGGATTTATGCTTATAATTATTGCAATAAAGATCATCCCCAATAAGTGTTAATTACATTTAGATGGGGTTAGAATTATTTATGTGGAATTAACAATGGTCAATAGAGTCCCCAAATAAAGTTCTTGAGAGAACAGAGTAAATTTTGTTTTATTTTCTGACCATTATATTGGTTGATTATAAATTGTAGATTATATTCCTTTGTTTCTAAATAATCTAAGGTGACTAATTAAGTCAACAGGGACTCTGGTCATTTTTTTTTCTCTATTGTAATTATAGTTATGTACTTACGTCTTGAGAAATTGTTTTATGGCTAAAAAATATTTTCTACTCTAATTATTATTAATAATACTCATATAAATAC